TTTGTTTGCACTTGTATGTGTATGAGGCTATTTTACCAATGATGTTTACTTGGATTGACAATTTTTTTCCTAGTTTGTAGAAATACATTGGGGCTTTTTTTTTTTTTTTTGGAACTTAGCATCTGTATTAGGGTGTAATTTACATAACAATCGTCCATTTTTAGCCTGAAGTTAAGTGTATTTTCAAGTAAATATATACAGTTGTGAACCTGTCATCATAATCCAGCTTTAAAGCATTGCCAACTGTTCACAAGCTCACTTGTGCCTGTTTGTAGTCATGCTGCATTCCCTATCCAGTTGCGTGGAGCCATTGATCTCCTTTCTGATTATTTAATTTGCCCTCTGGAAATTTTATATAAATAGAATTAGATGACATCTAAGTCTTGTGTGTCTGGCTTCTTTAACTCAGCATAGCGTTTTTGAACATTTTGTGTATTCATTCATCCATTGGTGTACATTTAGAGGCTTCCAATTTGGGACTTTCATGAGTATTGCTGCTATGAACATTACTGTACACATTTTTGTGTAGATATAGATTTAATTTTTCTTCTCCAGGTACCTGGAGAGTAGAACTGCTGATCTCTGTGGGAACTCTGTTTAGTTGTATGAAGAGTTGCTGGGTTATCTCGCACAGGGTCAGTATCATTTTACATTCTCATCAGCAGTGTATAGGACTCTAATTTCTCCACATCCTTAAAGTTTGAATTCAGGATATTTGAATCTGTTAACTTTTGTGTTTCTGAAAGACTGTTGTGGCTTTTTTGAATCCCTTGCATTTCCTTATACACTTTATACATTTCTGCAGAGAAGTCATCTATGATTTTGATAGAATCCGATCTGTATATCAATTTGGTAAGAAGGTGTAAATTGCCATCTTAATTTCATCCATGAGCAAGCAGGTTTTTCCATTTTATGTTGGTGTTTAGTTATTTTCAAAAGCATTTTGTGTTTTGGAGGTACATATTTTATTTTTGTGAAACTGTAAATGGTATTTTTAACTATCAGTTATTTTCCAGTTAATATTTGTTCGTATACAGAAATACTGCTGTTGTTCAATATTGACCTGAATCATGAAATCTTGCTAATTTTACGTGTGTGTTCTAGATTCTTTGTAAGTTTTCTAGCTTCTCTTAGGATTTTCTGTGTAAATGATTATATCATCTACAGTTCAAATATGTCACTTTCTTCTGTCATATACATATGCCTTTTATTTCTTCTCTTTTTGGAAGGGTGCAGACTGGGCAGGTCTGAGCAAACCTTAGCCCACTGGCAAGTGCAGGAGCCAGGCTGGAGTGTGGGTTACGCTGGGCTAGGCTTACCATACTTACAGGTTTGCTTGAGCCGGGGATGGGAGCAGACTGAGCGGAGCCAGGTTAGAGTACCCGCCAAGACTTGGGACTGAGGTCCAGTTGGGTCAGGCTGGGTTGCAGCATATGAAGGCAAAGTCCAAGAAAGGCGAAATACTTTTCCAGGCTGGGTCAGAGCAACCACTGGCATGTGCAAAATCTGAAGCTGGGAACAAGCCTGGTTGGGGAGCAAAGGGGATGCTCCAGCTGCGTGATAGTTCCCACTGATGAATGAGGGCTGGAATGAGAGCTGTGATCTGGTGTAGACGTGGCTGCAGTGTTCCTCGGCATGGATGTGCACTGGGTCTGGGGTGTGCCAGACTGGGCTAGACTCTAGCACCCACCGGTGCTTGTAAGACCCAGAGTGGCTTTAGGCTAGATCTCTGCCCCTGCTGAGCTACGCATGAGATGTGTCTGGGTGTAGACCAGATTTGGCTCAGCTGCAGGAACCAACAGTAAGAACCGAAATGGGTGAGGGACAATCAGGAAAGGCCACTGTTCCTATTAGGACAGGAGGTGAACTAAATCGGGCTGGGATATGGACCCACCAGTGTGTGCAAAATCTGGCATTGGGAGAGGCTCTGATGGAGGAGCTTGGGGAACTCCTCTGTTGGGACACAGTCCCTGCAGGTGAACATAGGAACCAAGAATGGGAGCAGCCCAAACCAGGCCAGTTGATGGTACCCATGGGCTTACCTTTGGCTCAGGTCTGGGGTAAGCCAGACTGAGTCAGTTCATATCACCCACTGGCAGACGCGAGAACCAGAATGGGGTGAGGGACAAACCAGGTTGGGGTGAAATACCAGCCAGTTCACATTAGGGCCAGGATTGGGGCCTGGCTTGGCTGAGCTAGGCTGTAGCCCCCACCAATACGAGCTGGAACTGGGAGTGGACCAAGTTGGGCCAGGCTATAACACCCACTGACAAATGCCAAGGTGAAGCAGACCATGCCAGACTAGGCCACAGCACCCAACGTGAGACCCGGAGAGGAAGAGATGTGAACCTGATAGAGGGGCTGCAAGGGGCTCCCCTGCTGGGTTTCTGCTCATACTGGTGAGCATGAGAGCTGGAACCAGAGGTAAATCAGGCCATGCAGAGCTATAGCACCTGTTGACCTGCATGTGAGCTGGGTTAGGGATTAGACTGGGCTGACTGTACCCACTTGTGCGTGCATAAGCCAGAATGGGTATAGGTTGACTGGGCTTTGCCACAGCATCAACTGGCAGGTGCTGGCACTAGGGACAAATTCTGTCAAGCTAAACTGCAGAACTACCTGGAGAGTGCAAGATCCAAGAGTGGGAGTGGGCTCATTAGAGCAACTCTGGGCACCTCACTCTTGGGTTGCCACTGCCACTGGTGAGCATGAGAACCAGGACTCGGAGCAGGCATGGCTAGAGAGAGAGTGGCACCCACCAGCATAACTGTGGGCTAGACAGGGGGTCTGGTTGGGTTGAACTAGGCTTTAATGTCCATTGATATGTACAAGAGCTGAATGGGACATGGGACAGACTGGACTAGTCTGCTATACATACTGGGAATCACAGGAATCAGGGCAGGAAGCAGTCCTTGTGGGGGTTATTGGGGTCACTCCAACTAGGATGCAGTTCCACCAGTTTGCATGAAGGCCGAGTTTGTGGTGGGCAGGATTGGGCTGGGTTGCAACACCCGTTGATTTGTGTAGAAGACAGGATTGGTGACAGAACTGATCCAGCAATGGCAACCACCAGTGTTTGCATAGGTTGATTTGGGTGACAGATCCTGTATTGGCAAGCACACACAAGAATCTGGTCTGGGATCACTTCAGACGAAATTTGTTTGGGGATCCCCCAACTGAAACCCTGGACTCAAAACTCCAACCATGGGGAGAATTGCAGGTTCCATGGTCTGTCTGTGGAGTGCATGTGACAGAGCTGGGCTTCTCAGTGGCTTAGAGCAGTGGACAGTATAACAAGATACACATGGAGAATATGGCAGTACATTGGAGACTGCAGAGTGACAGGGATCTCACTTGTACTGATTCTATTCCCAAATGCCTTCAGTAGCCTGGGTGGGGCAAAGCTGAAGCTGGGAACTCAAAATTCCACATGGTCTCCCACATGGTTGGCAGCATCCCAAGTACCTGGACCACCACTCAGTGCTTTCCAAGGTGCATTAACAGGAAGGTGAATTAAAAGCAAAGTTAGCTGGGACTTAGATAGACACTAATTTGAAATGCAGGAGTCTCGGTGGCTTAACCCTCTAAGCCACAAAGCCCACTCTAAGCTGTTAAGTTTCTTTGTAACCATCCTAGAGTTTTCATACAGTCTTCTGACTAAAATTAAAAAACAGTTAAGGCTGAAACTTTTAGTAGACCGAGACTGTCTTTGATATTTCTTCATAACAACTTTTCCAGGAGTGTGGTAGAGACCCAGCCATACTAGAATAAATAAGGATGAAATTATTATCACAAAATTACCTAGGAACCTGTCTGCCTTGGGCCAGGTGGGTCTGGAGAAACTCAATGTCACTAGGACACGGTGTCTCCATTTTTTGACACTTGTTTTTACCTGTTGATTTCAACCTTTCTTTGTAGATTCCTCCACCACCTCTCACCACTTTTTTTTTTTTTTTTTTTTTTTGCCAGAGATATAAACAACAGCACCAGACTTATAACCAACCAACTTAGTGACCCAGCAAAAAAGAAGGTGTCTCATTTTTTGGTCATCCTGTTTTCTGGACTATTTGGACCACCTTGTAACTCATTGCCATCCCCAAGCCAATTACTATGGCCTTGGGAGTAGAATGTCCTTATTGGTCAGATCTGAGCCACAAGACCCTCCCCTTTAGAATCAGGCTGTGGTGTCACCCCTAACTTAAAAGCAGTGAGTTATAACCAGAAAGCAAAAACAGTCTATCTGGGCATAAATTCTAGATACCTACACCTGCTATGAGGAGATCTCTCTGCTCTAAGTCTAGCAATACTGCTGGACCTCCTCAAGCCTCAATTTCCCCATTTTTAGCATTCAAGTGAAAAAATCTTTGTCCCTTTCTGACCTTATCTCAAAGGCCCAGTGAGGTTGTGTACCAGAAAGCTGTCCTAGGGCCTGGCACAGTGGCTCAGCTAAATCCTCACTTTGCAAGCTCCAGGATCCCATATGGGTGCCGGTTCATGTGCTAACTGCTCTACTTCTCATCCAGTTCCTTGCTTATGGTTTGGGAAAGCAATAGAAGATGGCCCACGTGGAAGGCCCAGAAGAAGCTCTTGGCTCCTGGCTTCAGATTGTCTCAGCTCTGGCCACTGCAGCCATTTGAGGAGTGAACCAGTAGTTGGAAGATCTTTCTCTCTCATGGAAGATCTTGCATGCTACAAATGGGAAAACTGAGACTGGAGGAGGTCCAGTGGGATTGCCAGACCTAGAGCAAAGAGGTCTCCTGTATCAGGTTGTCAGCATTTGGGTCTCTCCTTCTCTCCGGAAAGCTGATCTTCCTTTCCAATATATATAGATATATAGAGATATGGAATTATTATATATAATTACATATAAATATATAATATATTTTTAAAGAAAGCTGTCTCAACTCTCAGGTGGTGGTGCACATGGGGCAGAAGAACCATAAAGTGACCAGGTGCTAAGCAGTTCTTCTTACCCATCTCTTCTCCTGTCTCCCTCACAGAGCACCTGAAGAAGCCACTTGAAGATTACATGGCCCGTTTCCCTAGTGTGAGGATTCTCCGAACCAAGAAGCGGGAGGGACTGATAAGGACCCGGATGCTGGGGGCCTCAGCAGCCACTGGAGATGTCATCACATTCTTGGACTCACATTGTGAAGCCAACGTCAACTGGCTCCCTCCCTTGCTTGGTAAGCAAGCCATTCTTACTCGGAGGGAGGCAGCCTGGAATGAGCCAACTGCCATTGGCCGCGGTCTATAGTAAGGAACCAGCCACAGGGCTTCCCCTGCCCGCTTGAGACCATGCAGCGCAATGTCAGGTGCCTTGGGTGGGCATGGAAAATGTTCACTAAGACCTTCAGCAAGGAGTCAATCCCTCCCCTCCATTTCCCAGAGAAGGAAATTGAGGCTCAGAAAAGGGAAGAGACTTGTGTAGAGTCATGCGGTACCTTAGTGTCCAGTGGCACAACAACTTCCCTCTGATGACTTCATATCTTGTTGGAAAGCAAACCAGAGCCATCTGCTTTTGGGAGACCATGTGGAGGGAATCACTGTGTCAACATGGAGAAGTTACCACTGATTGCACTGCTCCCATGAACCCCACCAGCCGTCAGCAAAGCTTGGAAAGCTGAAAGGATCCCCTTTTTATAGTGAAAGAAAGTGAAGTCATATATGGAGTGAGTCACTTGTCCCCTGAGGCCATAAGCATCAAAATCACCATCTGTCTGGCTCCAAAAAGTCTAGTGTCTGTCACAGTTCTACATGCCTCCCAAATTTATTTCCTCTTAGACAAGAGTTGTCTCTCAGATATCCTGGAAGAGCTGTAAACACAGTGCAGCCAACTCCAGGAACCATGCAGCCTCGCTTTGGGGACAGAGGGGAGACAGAAAAGTTGGGTGCTGGCCCTGGGATGTCTCACAGTTGGTGAAAGTGCAGGGGTTTTTTTGGAGGGGTTTACTTGGGGCTTGTTATTTTTTCACAAATTTATTTATTTTTATTTGAGAGGCTAGTTTTACGGAGAGAAAAGGTCAGAGAAATCATCCATCTGCTAGTTCACTCCCCAAATGGCCGCAACAGCCAGAGCTGAGCTGATCTGAAGCCAGGACCTTCTTCCCAGTCTCCCATGTAGGTGCAGGAGTCCAAGGACTTGGACTATCCTCCACTACTTTCCATTAGCAGAGCGCTGGAGCAAAAAGCAGCCAGGATATGAACCAGTGCCCATATGGGACCCTAGCACTGCAGGCCAAGGATTAGTCTAGTGCCTCACCATGCCAGCTCAGGAGTGCAGTTTTGATGAAGACAGTGGCCTGATGCTGTCAGGCAGATAGCAAAAAGAGAATGTTCCCTTGAAACTGGAAGTCAGGTCAGAGCCAGGACCAAGGTTGAAGGCAGTTGGGGAAGGAGTTACCAAACTCATCTGCAGAGAAATGTGAACTCGACAGAGACCTTAGAGAGGAAAGAGGACAGCAATTTACGGTAAACCTAGTTGAATCACATAAGAGACCTGTAACAATCATGCAGCGTGCTAGATGGACCCCATCTGGAATTATGGATCCAAGAAATCTAGACTGGGCCTGCCAATGTGCGTTTCTACCCGGCTCTGGAGTGATGCCAGCACTATAAGTCCAGGGGCCGCATTTTGGGGAACAGCAGGCAACTTGCTGCTCTGTACAGATCCACATGAAACTTTGTAATGAGAGTATGTGTTTCTGACCTCCAGAGTCCAGGATCTCACTGGGTGAGAGAAAGGTTAGAATTTTGGGTCAACTGTTTATTTAATGGCCCCGAGAGATCTTCTGCATCTGCCTCTCATTATTGAAAGAGGAAAAACAAAAAGGAAGACGTCTCACCATAAATTGCATAATTTATAGTCCTGAAGGAGCAACCCATTTTTAGGGTCACTCAGTGACTCAAAGAGAATGAAGTGGCAGGGCACAGAGCTGAGCTTGTAAGTCTAAATAGCCCTCAACTCTGTTTCTATGGAAATACATGACAGTTGTCATAATCTGAAGATGTACATGGAAGAAACACACATACTTCTTCTTGTTACCCCTAGCAATAGATGTATGAACCAGTGGTATAGATTTAAACAAGTCTGTCCCTGCTGATATGAGCAGCTGATGGAGCACAACATGGCTATTGTCTGTAAAGCCATTAACACTTGCGTGCAGGGCTCACTCTGTCTTCTAGAGTCCTGGTCACAGGGAATGCTGGCTCAGGGCTGCTCCTGTGCTAAAGATTATGATAGGCATCTTAGATCATTTGTCCTACTCAGTCCTCACAGAGACACCCCTCTCCCATGACATAGGTCCTCTTCCTCCATTTCCTTTTAAGTTTTTAAAAAAATTATTTTGTGTATTTATCTGAAAAGTAGAGAAAGTCCCATCCATTGGTTCAATCCCCCAAATGCCTACAGCAGCTGGGGTTGGGCTAAGCCAAAGTCAGGTGACTGGCATTCATTCTGTAATGGCATCCATGTGAGTGGTAGGGACCCAAAATCTTGAAGCATCGGCCACTACCTCCCAGGATGTGCATCAGCAGGAAGCTGGAGTGGAAGCAGAATAGGAACTCCCATAGGGCACACAGGCTTTCCAAGTGATTTTATTAGGGATTATGCCTACCCCTCTTTGTGAATTTTCTTGGTGAGGAAGCCAAAGCTCAGAGACAGCTGTATGAGGTTATATGATTGAGGGTTAACAAATCGGGATTTGAGCCTGAGCATTCTTTCCCAAGTGAGCTCCGTGTTGTAGGATGCTGCTTTCTGCTTCTCCTTGATTTCATGCCTCCTATAGTCACCAGTAGCCAGCAGAGTGCTGTGTCCTCAGGCCTGGGTCAAAAGTCACACAAGTGGCTGTGAATGATTGAAAATGCAAGCCCTCCTAAATCTTCTCCCAAGAACATTCTCTTGTTTGTTTATTTGAAAGTCAGAATTACAGAGTGAGAAAAAGAGAGAGGGGAAGATCTTCCATCTGCTAGTTCATATCCAACATGGCCGCAACAAGGGCTAGGCTGAAGCCAGCAGCCAGGAATTTCTGTTAGGTCTCCCACAAGAGTGACAGGGGCCCAGACAGTTGGGCTGTATTTGGCTGCTTTTCCTAGGCCGTTAACAGAGTGGATCAGAAGTGGAGCTGCCAAAACATGAACCAGGACCTAAATGGGATGCTGGCATCACAGGAGGCAGCATTACCTGCTATACCACAATGCCGGCCCCAAAAAGATTCTGAGACTCTGTAAATACTCTCCGTGGATGGGGCAGACATTTTCTTCCTTCCTTCCTTCCTTTCTTCCTTTCTTTCTTTCTTTCTTTCTCTCTCTCTCTCTCTCTCTCTCTCTCTCTCTCTCCCTCCCTCCCTCCCTCCTTCCCTCCCTTCCTTCCTTCCTTCCTTCCTTCCTCTCTTTTTTAAGATTTTATTTACTTTTATTGCCAAGTCAGATACACAGAGAGGAGGAAAGACAGAGAGGACAATCTTCTGTCTGCTGATTCACTCCTCAAGAGGCTGCAATGGCCAGACCTGAGCTGATCTGAAGCCAGGAGCCAGGCACTTCCTCTGGGTCTCCCACATGGGTACAGGGCCCCAAGGCTTTGGGCTGTCCTCGACTGTCTTCCCAGGCTACAAACAGGGAACTGGATGGAAAGTAGGGCCACCAGAATATAAACTGGTGCCCATATGGGATCCTGGTGTATGCAAGGTGAGGACCCCAACCATTAGGCTGCCGTACCTGGCCTGGGGTAGATGTTTCATAAACTCTGTGAATACTCTCTGTGGATGAGGCAGACGTTTGGCCGGCAGATAAGATGCTTGTGTCTCATATCAGAGTGCCTGGGATTGAGTCCCATCTCTGCTGCAGATTCCAGCTTCCTGCTTATGTTCTCCCAGGGAAGCAGCAAATGATGGCTCAAATAACTGGATTCTTGTGCTACAGGTGGGAGACCTGGATTGAGCTTCCAGCTTTAACATGGTTCATCCCCAGCCGCTGCAAACATTTGGAGAGTAAAATAGGAGATGAGAGTGCTGTCTCTCTTTATGTCTCAAATAAATAAATGATAAAATAGAGACCCCCAAAGGGCCAATGCAAAAGTCAGATCTAAGCCAATTGCCAGAGGTTTTGATTCAGTAGGCCTGGGGTGGGGGCAGGTTTGCAGGATTTTAAACATGCCTTCCCTGCATTTAACCCTGTTGGCCCCCAGAGCCACACTTGCTGATATACTACTGGAAATAGCATTTATTTTTTTTTTAAATTTTTATTTTTCATGAAAGGATCAAGGAGAGAATTCCCAACCAAGCATACTACTCACGATTTGGTCTCCACGGGTGAGCCACTTGCCGCCGGGAGGCCGGAACGGAGCAGCTAATGCCCCGGCGAAATAGCATTTATTAAACTTTCTTTTTTAGCTACCCACCACAGCTAGAAAGACATTGGGTTTCTCAGTCTAGTATACAAACACACACGTATTAAAACAGTGCCACTGAAATACGTTTCCTGGAATAGGATCACTTGTCCCAGTCAGTCTTATCATCTGGAATGCGGCCTGATTGCCAGTGTTCTTTTTTGTTTTGTTTCACACATATCCATACATGACTGAATTTCTTTGTCCACTGTAGGTTGTCTCGCTACTTAGTATTTTAATGTATAAAACCACTGCTTTTTCTCTTGAAGAAAAATGTACTTTAGCTTCATGAAACTTGAACCCTAGGCAGCAGTTGGTCTTCTCTGTCTCTACAAGACCCCCCATCCCAAGTGCTAGACTTGACTCCTGGCACTAATCAACCAGAGATCATGGCACCCTAACACACCCCACTTGCCCCTGAGTTGCTGTCTTGCATCACCCAGCCTGGTATCATCCGTCAGGTTGTGCTTCTTGCACACCTGTGATTGTGGGAAGCTCAGAGCTTCCAGGGACAATCCATTTGCTTTCCCAGGTCTGTTAGGAAAACCAGGCTGAACTCCCTCATAAGCCAGGACGTTTGTTTGCTGAATGCAGCCAAGGATGCTAAGGAGGGAGTGTGCATCAGGGGCAGACAGTCTGCAGTGAGGGGTAAGTGCTGGGCTGCAGCTACCGAAAGCCTGGTAGAGCCAGAACAGGGTTCCTCACAGAAGAATATCAGCCTGTCTCCACAATTGTGTTAAATAGGTAGCAGTGCTATGCACTTAAAACATGGTGTGCAGACCTCATCACAACCTATGGGGCTGACTTACTTCCAACTCTTTTGGAAAGCATCAGGGTAGGATTATGCTGCTGAGTAGCTGCCTCAGGACCCTGTTGTGAGTGGCAGAACTGGGATGGGAATAAAGCCATGCTTTCCTTTCCTCCCCATGGATCCTCAAGCTTGCGTGTTCAGAGCCATCGTCCAAGAACAGGTTGGCCAGACAAGTGAACTGCAGAATAGGATTGCACACTTAATTGTTCCCCAGTCCTCCCTCAACTCATGGGCATCTCTTGGCTGCTTCAGACCGCATTGCTCGGAACCGCAAGACTATTGTGTGCCCGATGATCGACGTGATTGACCACGATGACTTTCGGTACGAGACACAGGCTGGGGATGCCATGCGGGGCGCCTTTGACTGGGAGATGTACTACAAGCGCATCCCGATCCCTCCAGAGCTGCAAAAGGCTGACCCCAGCGACCCATTCGAGTAAGTATGAATGGCTCAGGCTCAGCCCAGCAATTGTCCTGTGACCCCACGCCAACTCACACAGAGAGCAGGATCACCACCTCCCCCTTCGCAAAGTCCAGTGCAGAGGAGCCAACTTCCTGGCCCTGCTTGGTGTCAAACATTAGCTATCCCCAGCCAGAGCACTTCCTCCCCCAATTGTCACAGTCTCAGCTTAGGGACCACCAAGCTGGTCACTCCAACCCTTCACCGCTCCAGTTTACCCAACTTGCCAGCAGGCGTGAATAGATTCCCTCTTGCTGTCTCCCTTAAGCCTGGCACATGCCATAGCCAGCACCATGCAGTAGGCACCATACCAAGCCATGCCATCATAGACATTGACAGTCTTTAATTCACATTTTCTGAATGAAGGTGTGAATCCAAGGCCCAGCCTTCCCTGCTGCATTGGTTACCTGCTGCTGCTACTGCCGAGACATATTATCACAACTTGGTGGTTTCTAGCAACCCAACTTTATGCGCTTAAAGTCCCCAGGGTCTGGAGTCTGTCTTTCTGGGCTGACAACACAGTGTCACGGGACCATGTTTTCTGTAGAGGGCCTGGAAATCAATCCGTTTTCTCACCTTGCCCAACTCCTAGAGGATGCCCACATTTCTTTGGTTGATGCCTCTCCTCCTACATCCAAGCTAGCAGCCCAGCATCTTCAGCTCTGTTTCTCTCTTGGGCCTTTGCTCCTCTCATCTTCTCTGCTCTCTCACCTTCATGTCTCAGAGGGAAGCCCCATGCAATCCATCAGTGCGTCTTCAGTCCCTTCATCTCAGTCCTACCTGCAAAGTGCCTCTTGCTTGCATGCAGCAACATGGCCACAGGTGCCAGAGATTAGGACAGTGGCATCTTAGCAATGCCACATCTACTTCACTGTCATTGAGCTGCTAGTGAACCTCAGCTTTTCTGTGCCCTCCCCTGCTGCTCCAAGAAAGAGCATCATCAGTGGCTCAGCTATCTTCAGTGGGTTCGGTGCACACCCAGAGTCCCCCCAGGGAAGGCCCAGCCACAACAAGAGCTACAGCTGTGCAAGGTAGCTAGGCAGTGGAGCAGTGTGGGCCAGGAGAGAGCTCCCGTGCTGCATTAGTGAGTCAGCCCTCCTTGAATCTAAGCATGGTCACTCACACCCTGACCAAAACCATGACCAGGACCCCACCTTGCAATCTGCTGCACCTGTAGTCAGTTCTCACTTGACCTGCATTCTTGGGAAACAGTCCCGATAAGCGGTTGTAAGCAGTTCCAACCAGCAGTGTCCTCCCAGGCAAGCAGGACTTTTCTGTTTACCACATGCAGACTCTGTGAATCACTGTGAGGCAGTAGCATATACTGAGAGCTGAGGCACCGCTCCAGTGATGGAGCTTGCCGCATCACCGAGAAGTCATCAGCGCCTCCTTTCTTGTTGGAACCTTTGCTGGAAGCAGATGGCCTGGTTTGGACCCCAGTCATCCTCATCCCTGCATGATAAGGAAAGGGCAAGTCCAGATCACGTGACTGGCCCATAGCAGAGGCTTAGGCAGTGTCCCTCGGGGACTCAGTCTCCTCACCTGAGTGCTGAAGCTCCTGGCCTCAGTTTAGAATGGCAGCTCTCGGCCCTGCCACACCATGGCCTTCTGAAGGACTCTTTCCTCCTCTGTAGCTTCTGATTCTTTCCAGAAGCTTCATAAGCCTCAAATTTGTTAAAACCCCAGGGAATGGCCACCAGAGAAACCCTGACCATTTTTCTGCCCACTTCCCCACGGTGCCCAGCAAATGGGCAATCTACAGGCACAGCGTGGTGTAATGGTGTTTGAAAGACATGAGTGATGGTGGTAGACCCCGATTTGCATCGCAGCTTATCTGCATGTCCTCAAGCAGATTTCATAATGTTTCTGAATTTCAAATTTCTCCATCCGAAAATGGGCCAGTGATAGAGCTTTGTGAGAGCTGCAGATAATGTCAGCCAAGTGAGTGGCACACACACTCAGAATTGTTGCTGAACACAGCAGCCAGCTGAACAGGCTGGAAGAAAAAAAAACCTACTTTGGGAGGCAAAACCTTGAGCATCCACAGGACCATAGGAACCATCACCTGCCTGTAAACAGCAACCACTGGCTTCAGCCTGGCTGAACTCCTGTGCAAAGGCTTGGGTTTGATTTCCTGTGAAGCACCAAATAGAAACATCCTGCCTATCCGTGCGGGATATTTATGGCTGCAGCCAGAAATTCCAAAATCCCCAGTCTCTTCAGAGGATCAAAGGGTGTTGCTACTGGTGCCTTACTTTGTTGAAGTCCTGGATCCTTTTAGAAATACACTAGCCATGTGGAGCAGACATGAGCCTAGTGATTGAGACACCCGCGTCACAGGACTTGGGTTCAATTTCCAGCTCCAGCTCTGACTCCAGCTTCCTGCTAACACAGACGCTGGGAGGTAAAGGAAACAATTCAAATAGTTGAATTCCAGCCACTGATGTGAGAGACCTGGACTGAGTCCCTGGCACCTAGTTCCCACCCATTCCCGGCTATTGCAGGCATTTGGGGAGTGAACCAGCAATGAGGACAAAGGGACAAGCACCTCTCCTCCCCTGTTCACCTCCCCAACAAAGAAAAAGCAAACATACTACCAATGTGAAATAGGAAGTGTAGTTTATCTCTGTTTTGTACTTGGGGAATCAATTCAATATATGAGCCACGTGTACTATTAAGTTATCCAGGGACTGCATAAGAGAAGTAAAGAGAAACAATTAAAAATTCCTTCTAGTGATAAATTTTATTTCAACCAGTGTACCTAAAATACTGTCATTTTAACTGATAGCCAACACCTGAGAATTACTGATGATGTGCTGTGTGTGCAATGCTTGAGTAAGTCCTGTGCATGTGGTATGTGCCTTAGTGTCCTCATGTCTCAGCTCAGGCCAGCCAGTCTAGTTGTCACACATGGCCGATGGCTACCATCCCTGACAGCACGAGGTCAATATTAATCCCTCTGAAGAGATCAGACCCTGGAATGAGGGTGTCCCAGGTTCTGGTCCCCTATCCTATTCTGCTTCTTTGTGGTTCATTCCAGAGGCAGTGATGTGCTGGAGGGCGTGGGCGGTGGCTCAGGATCTTGGATCCCCGCAGCGCTGCCATGGTGCCCTGAAGCCTCAAGCCAGTTACCAGGCTCTGCTCCACTTTTCTTTGTGATGGCCACGAGGTCTGTCTCTGAGCCAAGATGAGGATTGAGTCTGTCATTCATGTAGCACTGGCAGACTCACCCCTCGGAATCTGCACAGAGCCCCCTCCAGGACCACAGGCTCCTCTGCCACAGACCGGCGTGGGCAGTGGGCTGGGGAGCAGGGTCATACACAGTCACTACAGTTCCTGTGAGCTTGCAATGCTAGGCAGGAGAGGAGGAGAATGGTGCTACTGGAATGTTTCCATAGTGTTCTATTGTCCCACAGAGCTAGAGCAGGACACCTCCCTCTCTCCTATATATGTTCGTGCAGCAAACTCAAGCAGCCCATGGGGCTTAGCGTGATTCCCATGGGCACCCACGGTTTTCATCCCTCTGCCTTTCCTGGTATTGTTTCCTCCTCCAGGCTGCTCTCTCCTGCCCTAGTTCCTCCTACCGCAAACCCACATTACTAGAATGCACTTCCTGTAAGCGTTCTTCGACCCTTGACTTTTCCCCCAGCCTTCCTCCTCAGCCCAAGCCAGAAGAAGACAGTCTTTCCACATAATGCTCCGTATGTACCTCCCAGGGCCCTGTTGCACCCCACCCGACCTTCTTCTGAGTTATTCTGTCGGGCCTGGCTACCCCACCATGCTGGATTCCTCCAGAGAACTGTGCCCTTCCTCAGTATGCTTTTAGCTCCTGCTTAGTAGCCTGCACTCAATGACTGTAGACTACTAGGAGAATGAGTAAGTGGAGTCCTAGCTCAATTAAGAGAACAGAGACAGCAGCTTCCTGGCTTAGCACCATTATATAGTAGTACGTCCATGCTGGCTTTACTGAGGAAGAAGGCAGATGTTCAAGAACAGACTCCTAGACTCTGGCCCCAGTGACTATTTCCATCACTCTGGCCTGTGGCTCAGTAAGCTGTGTTTTTCCTTCTCTTGTAGAGATTCTCCAGTATGGACAGGCAGGGTGAGACCTGATCCCCATGGCTGACCTGGAGGGAGGATGGGAATACAGATAGTATGCAGCTACAAGGCCCCCAGGAGAAGGGTGCCGTGATTTCACTTAACAGGTGTGCTTAGATGTTCATCATGTAGAGGATCCTTGCATCCAATTGGTGAAAACATAACATTTATGAAGGGAAGTGGTAGGCAAGGGAAGGGCCTCAGAGACCCTGGTAGACACGCCACGTATCATCAGAGAGGAGCTCATGTCAGGATGTCGGCACCCTCACATCACCCTCTCCTTCTCTGACAGGTCTCCTGTGATGGCCGGCGGACTGTTTGCTGTGGACCGGAAGTGGTTCTGGGAGCTGGGCGGATATGACCCAGGCTTGGAGATCTGGGGAGGGGAGCAGTATGAGATCTCCTTCAAGGTGAGCTGGCGCTCCAACGGCCCCCGCTTCTCATCCTGAGCCTGGCACACTGTCTGCGTGGTGGCTGTCTGGAAAGACTCTGGAGGCCTCTGGGTCTGTCGCTGTTCCACCCCTCAATGAAGAAATTAGGGACCAAAGGGCCACTCCTAGGAAGATGGGAGGGGCTTCCCTCAGGCTGCTAGAGGCTGGACTTAGTCCTCATGATTAGCATTTGCATGTCATCTCTTCTCATGATGTTGAGATACAAAGGTCTCACTTCCAGTGTAGGTGGTGTGTCTGTGATTTGATGGCCAGCACATCTGCAGTAGGAAGCAGGAGCCTAGTAGACCCCACAGAATACATGAGCCAGAAGGCTGCTGTGCCCTAACAGCTACCTGGCCTTGCAGAGGCTCCCAGCTGCCCCTGTCATTGTCCTTTTTAAAGCTATTACCACAAGAGTCCAGCATGCAGACCAATAGATGAAAGCGCTAACAGGGAGTCAGAAGGGCCTCAATTCCAATATCACATGTCAACTCTCTGACTTGGAGAAAGCCTCATGCTGTCTCTGAGCTTGCTTTCTTCATCTGAAGTGAAGGAATAATAGCACTACCTACCTTACGGATCTATTGGGAAGATGATATGAAATCATGTCTACAAAGTGCTTAGCATGCAGCCTGGGAGCATGACTGGAAATGAATAAGTGGTAGAAATTGATTCAGTGTATAAATATTTACTGTGTAACCCTTTAGACCAGCCCAGGGGTTATAGAAGTTCTCTGGCAGTGATGGTAAGGGGACTCAAAATGCAGTAAATCCATAGCAGCCTAGTTTTTAAGTTGATAATTTTGTGTGGCCCATGAATGATGCTATATATACTTAAATGGCCTTTGGAAGAGTGAAAATTCCCTACTCTCACCCCTACACTATGGGCTGTTGGACAGGGAAGCCTCACCTCACAGAATCTCAGTTCCCCACTTCTGCAAAATTGGTGTGACACTTGAATCATCACAGAGTGTTTACTAACTGTTCTTAAGAAATATTCTGAATATTACTATCATCTCAAACACATTAATATTGCCATCTGCTACACTGGTTGAGCAGCTCAGAAGTAGGGGACAGAAGCTCTTAATGAATGAAAAGCCTCAACCTTGAGTTCTTACTGAAACATTACTTGAGTTTGAAAATCAGCATATATCTGTTTTAATTTCCAGACTTTTATTTTGTTTGAAAGATTTACTTATCCACTTGAAAGGCAGAGGAGGAGAGAAAGATATCCTCTCTCTGCTGGTTCACTCCCGAAATGGCCTCAGAGTTAGGCCAATCTGAAGCCAGGATCTTCTTCCAGATCTCCTGCATGGGTGAGCAGAAACTTGTGGCATCTTCTAATGTGCATTAGTAGGAAGCTGGATCAGAAGTGGAGCAACTAGGACTTGAGCCAACATCCATAAAGGAATGCCAGCACTACAGTGATTTATCCGCTGTGCCTCAGCACTGACCCCAACCATCAAATTTCTGAGATTGTCTCCCAAATAAAACAAATAACTAATATCCAGGGAGATAATAGTCAGAATGTTTAATAACTGTGATGGCACAGATGCCTGCTAGCCAGCGTGGGGTGCCAGCTGTAAACAATCGTGTATCCACTCTTGTGCCCAACAACTGAAATTCCATCCAGTCAGCAGTAACAGGGCACTAAGCCCATCCTTTCACACAGGGATGGCTTACTTAACACTCACAGTACCTTGGGAAGTGGTGTCAGCATTGGATCCATTTTAAGGGGGCAGGTGCAGGTTGGACTTAGGACCAAGTCTGGAAATAAGAGAACCAATGCATTAACTCAGGTGTGCCTATCTCATTTACTCTGACCCATATGCATATGTATGTGCATGTGTTTTAAGATTTATTTGTTTTTATTAGGAAAGCAGATTTGCAAAAAGAAAGAGAGGCAGAGAGAAAGATCTTCCATCCACTTATTCCTTCTGCAGATGGCTGCGGTGGCCAGAACTGAACCTATCTGAAGTCAGGAGCTTCTCCCATGTCTCCCAAGCTGGTGCAGGTCCCAAGGCTCTGGGCTGTCCTCCTCTGCTTTCCCAAGCCATAAGCAAGGAAATGGATGGGAAGTGAAACAGCCAGAACACAAATTGGTGCCCATATGGGATGCTGGCACTTGCAGGCAGAAGATTAGGCAGTTGCATGCCATCATGCCAGGCTCAACCCACTGTGTTTTTTGTTTTGTTTTTAAAGATTTATTTTTTATTGGAAAGGTAGATTTACAGAGAAGGAGATACAGAAAGATCTTCCACCCACTGGTTCACTCCCCAAGCGGCTGCAACGGCCAAAGCTGAGCCAATCCAAAGCCAGGAGCCAGGAGTTTCTACCAGATCTCCCACATGGGCACAAGGTCCTAAGGTTTTGGGCTGTCCTCTGCTGCCTTCCCAAGCCACAAGCAGGGTTCTGAATGGGAAGTGGAGCAGCTGGGATATGAACTGGTGCCAAATGGGATCCCAGTGCATGCAAAGCAAAGATTTTAGCTGCTAGGCTACCACTCTGAGCCTCTGTAGGACATCAGAGAAAATCAGTTAAGACAACCAGCCTTAGAAGCTGGCTACAATCCCTCCCTTCCTTGTTTTTGTCTCTTCCTGGGGTTATTCAAAATTTACTTAGATATTCTGCAACCCTTTAGTGAATTGAATTAATCACATTCAGAGTCAGAAACAGCATCTACATTCCTCTCCCAGCCAAATCACATGTTCTGAGTAGACACTTGTCCTGAGACTGCAGCCAAGCTTATCACAGAGCAGTGACAGATTAGTGAAGTCGCTGTGGTTGCAGGCTTGGAGAGTCCCGACACATAGGTCATTTATTTAGTATCCCTAACCATACAGTGTCATTTTCCAAAAGCCACATCCTTATGGGTACAGTGAAATCACACACAGGGTTTCAGATTTTTAACTTTATAGTTCCCCAGTCTGCCACTGAAGCAAGCTTGATTTATAAGGTGTTCTTCCAAGCTTGTTCTCGGAAATGGGCCTGGCCGAATCGAATCCTGAGTTCTTATCAAAATGTCATCTTGGGTACAGCAGGTATCTTTCTGTTTCACTCCCTGATGTGTTTCTAGCACCTTTACCTGCATTAAGTGAGTGTTTGCTGGTTGAATATTCAGCAACAGCTGTGTCCCAGACCACATCCAGCCTCCAAGCTCCTAACTTGCTCCTTGATCTAAGTCCCCCTGGAGAAACTCCCAGGAGGGAGAACAGTGAATAGAGAAAGATTTGCACAAAGGAATCTCTGAACCCAGAGTGATTTCATTCTCTGTTTCAAAGCCCCATCTAATGATGCTCATCAGGCAATTATGGCAGAACAAATGGCATTTTCCTCCCCACAGTTTATTTACAAAAGACTTGGTAATGAAGCCACTTTGGAAATGTTTCCTCCGGGAGGGGCTGGCTCAGGTTTTCACTTACTCTAGGAATATCTGTGCCTCTCAAGGGAAAGGCTAGGTGACGTGAAGGCTCCCTATGTCTGGCCGGGAGCTTTTTCCCCTTTGGCTGGCTTTCTCTCCTGGCATTGAGCACCCAAGTCCCCAGAGCCAGCAACATCCAGTCTGCCAGTGCCCAGTGTCCCAGGCCACTGTGGAAGGTCCATGTGCAGGGATAAGGCAAGCAGTGGAGCCTATTCATCTGCCAGCCCAGCCAGAGCAGCCCTGTCCAAGGGACCAGGTTCCCTCTGCTACATCTCCATGAAGATTCCCATTCTTGGTGACAGAGAAAAGAGACTTGTCTGAAAGGCATGAGTGTATTTTCAGAAATTAAGATAAACTGATGTATGCTAATGAATTCATAATTTTGCCCTGATTTCAAACCCAGCAATCTATTCTGATGGGAAAATGTCAGAAAATATGTTTGAACAGCTCTGAAATTTCTGGAAGTCATTGGCTCGCTTGCTTTCTCTGTTCCTCTGTGTATCTCAGCAGAGCTTTTGTTCCAAAAGGCACAGTTCTGGGTGAAAGTTACAGCCCCTCCCCGCCAGCCGTGAGATTTTTATGAATCTTCAGTGCTGTACCCTGGCGTACCAGGAGCTTCCTGAGCTAACCCCTACTTACTTCTCCACCTTCCCACTTCCCTCTTGCCCCACTCCATTAGTCTAGATTCCAGTTCGTAGGTAACTGAAACTCCATTCATTCACATTTAATCTGTAAACCAGAATTGATGAGCCCACACCACTGAAATTCCAGCAGAGATCCTAAGATTCTGGGGCAGCTGACCAAGGACTGATGGAGTCATCTGGGCTCTGCGTCTCTCAGCCCATGGCTCTGCTATCATTTGGGTCATTGGTTTCCACTCTCAGCAGACCCCAGAAGTCCAATGGAAACAAATTTCTCCTGTCATCCAAGTTGAGGCCCATCTGCCTGCTGGTTGCTTGCCCGTTCCTGAACAGTGTTCTCATCGGTGAGCTGCAGCCACATGCCCATTCTGGAACCAGGAGGGATGAAATAGACTCATTTCCCAAAGGGGCACGTGTGTAGGCCAAGGCAAACCACAGCCGTCTATCTCACCCACTCGTGCAGGACTTTTCAGAGTTCCAAGCTCACATGGCAGCCTTCACTCTCCCTTGGATGGTCTTTCCTCATTTTGACCAACACACTCACCACTCTAACTCATGCAAGGGGAGAGCAAAAATTCGTTTAAAATGAATACTGTAGGGGGAAAAAACTATATGGATTTCAAGCTTTTTAAATCTTATTCCATTTTTCCACAAACTTTTTGAAGCCCCTTTGTCCATATGGCCTCTTCTCAGCCTTCCCTGGGTTCCCTCTGCTGCCCAGAACAGCCCAACACTCTTCTCCGCTAGTACGTCTGCTCCAGGGTGCGAATGGCCTGACCCTCGCTAGGAGCTGCCTCTCACCCCTGCTGGACTCCGAGCTCCCTGGAGGCAGGATGGGGGCCTCATCCACCTGCATGTCCCACCTCTGGCTTCTGTAGATGCTTTTAAGTACATACACTCTCCAACTTAAAAGGGAGT